CTGGGTTTCCCTGCTGAGACTGCTGCCCCTGCGACCCGACCTCGGATAAGCGGAAGTAAATGGATGGATGGATGGAAGTACAGAACACTGGGAATCACACAAACTAAAGGACCACGAGAGGTGAAAAAACTGTGACAGAACTTAATACTTACAATTACATAGGTTTCTAAGGTGTTTTAAATCCCTAGAGCCTAATACATTACGCTGGCAGAGTGAAGCACAGAGTGAAGGAAGGCACTTCAATACAGACATCCAGGGAAAACAAGGAGCAGATGTAACTTAAAAAACAGGAAAAACTAGAAAAAAACACAGAAATAATCACAATAAACTCTAGGATAAGAAAACAAGAAATAATAAACACTACAGAACAAAATCCAGCAAAACAAAATGGGTGAGAGTGGTCTGAAGCCAGCCTCAAGCCCACAACACAAGGGAACAGTATCTGCGCTACACACTCAGCCCACTGACCTATGCAGAAGAAAACACACCAGGAAAGGCTAGGAACTAAGACAGAGAGGAGAAAATGCAGAACGGCAGCAATGCCTGTTAGCCAAATGTGGAAGGGTCACAGAGAAGGGTCAGTCGGTACAGACTCCGGCAATGTGTGAATTTAGGATTTAAAATTGTTTTTGCCTGTTTAACTTTATTTATTTTACCTGCAAAAAAATTGCTAGCAGATTTACAGTTAGCAGACCTAAATTTAGTGGAACCAAATTGGTCCGCCAATGATTTTCAAACTTGATGGAAACACTAATCCACTAATGAAAAAGTTAGCTTCACTAATAGCACTTAGCGGACCCTGCCCACTACTGTTATCCAATGCCCCCCGCCCAATGATTGTCCATGTCAATGGGTAACCATGAATCCCTTACCAGCAAAGTACCACTGAGGTACCCTGAGCATGGTGCTGCTGCCTGGGTGCTGAATTAGCTGCCCTCTGCTGTGTCCTGATGTGGAATATGGGTTAAATGCAGAGGACACATTTTGTTGTTGTGCTACAGTGTGTCAATAATGACAACTAATCAGCAACAGCTATTTATAGGTAAGTTATAAATGATTCAACTTTAGCACCGTCTATACTTTAAACATTATGCTAGATAAGCAGGTGGGTGATATTTTTTTTTAAAAAAGAATGTCTACTTCCAATATACAGTACTGTGCAAAAGTCTTAGGCAGGCAAAGAAAATGATGTTTAGATTATCCTCGTGTTGGTGTAAAACTATATTATGCCTGTCAAAGTGTGTCAGCGTAGCCATTTCAGAACCTCTACTAAAATCACCCCAGTATTTGCAGCGACCATCCAGTGCAGCCATGTATTTTTTGACTAGCTCACCCCATACAACTAGTCAATCTGTCACTGACTTTTTAAACCAATTTATTTCATTATTTAATTGAGCTGTTGGTGAAATTTAACAAAATCATGGATCAGCTGAGGTGCCCCTGAGGAGAAGTTTGGGAACTAAAGCGGTGTTCATCTAGCCATTCAACTAGATATCAGTAACTTTTTAGAAAACAGAAGAAATGATTACTAGTTTTTATTGTGTTACTCTTAATTTACACATGTTGTAATGTTAAATTGTGTTTTTTGCTCTAAGCCAAAGTACACTTGCTACCCAGATAAATGGCTTTAAACATTTCTTTGGATTGCCTAAGAATTTTGCACAGTACTGTATATTTATTACAATCATTGCAGTTGCACTGTTTCATTTATAATTATTTTGTTTGTATTGTGTGATGCTCCAGTCTTTTGAGAAACAGCTGATTATTTGTAGCCAACATAGGCCAATCTCCACGAAAAAAAAGAGATCATTTTCTGTTTGTTTTGCGCAGTAAAATTCTGTTCTTAGACATTAGTCATACTGTAGTTGTAAAAACTACACTGGCTTCAATAAACAATGTGTTTCTTATTAAGCGAGAATACCTGTAAATTCTTTTTGCCCTTCCCTCCACAGACTGTGAAACTGCTTCAAGGCAGTCGATCACAGACAGTGGGCATTCTCATTTCTAGCCTGCATCTAGAGATGAAGGACATTCAGCAAGGTGAGGCACAGATGAATTCAGGCAGAAAGTGTAACTGAAAGGCTTTGCATGATTGCACTTGTTTTAGGAATACACTACTAGGTTGATTGCAATCAAAAAACTAAAAATGCAAATTTTAATGCTAAGTTTCATATTTTGTTGGATTAGCATTTATCCCATAGAAATTAATGAAGAGTCCCCATAAAGACAGAAATACATGGACTGTGTGTGTGTGTCTGTGTGTGTAAAACAAATTTTATAAGTCGATTTCCTCTCATTCTTTTTTTCATTTAGCTGTTTTAATGTTAGACAACTCTGTTGTGGACCTGGGCACAATTGAGGCTTTATATGAAATTGTAAGTAAAAGATTTATGTAATAATACATATTTCTATTTCATTTAGAAATTTCTTAGATAATGCATATTGTTTTCCCTTGAAGAGTAAATTAGCCCATTAGTGTTATCAAATTAAATTTTAGAGTTAGTGGATTAGTGGTTATTGAAGCTAACTTTCAACTAGCTGTGCCCACCCCTAAGTACTAAGAATAACTCATTTGGAATTTGGGAATAAGCTGTTACATCACATTATGCAGGAAACATTATCATTTTAAAGCTGTATAGCATAGTTATGCAAATTGATTGTTGTCTTGTCTTAAATTTGTCTTACAGAGGGCTCAGAATGATGAGCTAGAAAAGATTCGGGAATACATCCGATCCTGCAAAGAAGATGAACGCAGGCTTCTGGACAAACCGGAACAGTAAGCAGCTGTGACTTTTCAATAGGCCCCAGCACTGAAAGCTAGAGATTGATTGTTCCTATCATGATATTTGATACTAGTGATAATGCTCTTAGGGCCGTAATCATCATCATTGGTGATCAAATAGAAAAGTTTGCTGTCCCTCAGCATGTGATGTGTGCTCCTGTTCCCAGGTTCCTGTATGACTTGTCTCAGATTCCTGACTTCTCAGACCGGGCCAGCTGCATGATATTCCAGTGTACATTCCTAGATATGGCGACCTCAATACATTGCAAAGTGGATGTTATTTCCCGTGTCTGCAAGGTATTTCAAATTTTTTCTGAAAAATGTGTCTCTCTTACTCATACTTACATCGTTTCAGATATTTCCACACTGGCAAAACAAGGTCAGTCACCCCTCTGGATTCGCAAATTTGACATGTAAATAACCAAAACTGCAAAAGTTGCCCGTGACCAAAAAAATTTTTAAATGGCAAAAATGATTTGGATCACATAAAATCATATACTGTAATATATAAATATTCCTGTAATTTAATATTTAATGGTGTACGTAAGTGCATAACATATCTTTAAAATTAAATTGGTTAAAAGAATGATTCCTGGTCTTAGAGGAATGTCTTACGAGGAGAGGTTAGCGGAACTGAATCTGTTCAGCCTTGA